TTAAAAGCCACTAAATTCTCAGTTTAGCCTAGTTTATAGCAATGATTAAAGAACAAAAATACTCATTGATAAATGTGCTAATTATTTCCTCCCAGGAGCTCAGCCACAAATTCATAACCAGGTTTCTAGAACAAATTTCTAGAATATACTCAAACTGAAGAAGAAATACACATCTCCTTTCCAACTAGCCATCAGAGTGTTTTATTCATTTTTGATCATGAAAACACTATTTACACCAAAGAACATGTCTTGTTAGCTTCAAGCGCTATGTTTAAAACGATGTAACAGAGAAACTCTATGTTTGAATGCAAAACACCATAGGAATCACTGGCAAATCCAAAAATGAAAAACAGGTCTCTGAAATGCCCAGAGCCAGCTGCTACTGTCCAGAATCCAGCTCCTTCCAACAGCAGATCTGCATGAGCCACACAGCTTAAGTGGGAATGTCATCGCCTAAGGCAAGGTTCGGCAAAGTTCTTCTGTACAGGACTAGCTAGTAAATATTTCAGACTTTGCTGCCTTATAGACTCTGTAACTACTACTCAGCTCTGCTTTGTAGCACCAAAGCAGCCAGACAATACATAAGTGAATGAATGTGGCTGGGAGCCAATAAACCTTTAATTTCCTATAATTTTCATGTTTTATAATATATTAATTCTCCTTTTGGTATTTTTCAACCATTTAAAAATGTAAATATCATTGTTAGTTCATACGCCACACAAACACAAGTAGCTGTTTTGGATCTGCTACATTTGGCCTATGGACCACAATTTACCACGCTGGCCTAGGGCCCAGTTTTCCTTCAGCCTGTGCCTACTCCTTTCTCCTCCTTTTATGTAACCTGCAAATTATGTGTTTTCTTCTTTAGCAAAGCATTCCATTTGTTTCTCTAAGTCACTGATGGCCAGCTTCTGTTTCTTTCCCATAGGTCCCAAAAGTTCAAGAGAACAATTATGAGGTCTGGAAAGGCAAGCACAGCCTGAAGAAAAGGCACAGGCTTCTCTCCTACTGCTTTCCAGCTCTGTGAGCTTGTGCAAGTTATATAAGCATTCCAAATCTCCATTTCACCACCTATCAAAAAACCTACGATACCCAACTACCTGAAAGTAATAGTGAAGGTCCCACGTTGTATTGAGTAAAGGAGGTAAAGGGGGAAATACAATCTATGGAGAAGGGCTGCCAAACATGGTTGAGAAACAAGGCAGCAGATATTTCACTTTTAAGCTGTTAACTCATGTAGCATATGGGTCCCCAAGCAGAGAAAGGAATCTTGGTGAATTCAGATAAAGTTCTCAGGGATGGAGCAACTAACAACCTCAGTGACTGCATGCTAGTTTTCATAAATCTAAGAATAGGCCAGAAACTCAATAAAGAAACCTGAGAATGTCTTTGTGGCAAAAGAACATTGTTGACATTGAAGAGCATAAAAATGAATAAAACGCAGACCTTCACTTTAAAGAGTTTATAATGTATTAAACACAAGGACCTATACGACAAAGTAAATATGATTTGTATAAACCAACTACATTAAGAAGTTAAAAAGAACCAAACAAAAATACCAAGGGGAAGAATTCCCTAGGAACTAGAGTTAAACAATAAACAGGATTTCAAAAAACTAAAAAGGAAGGAACAGAAAGTTGAGACTGCTATTCATGTGTATACCTAGGATTACAGGACATGTGGATTCTCAATTCCAGTAGACATTACGTTGTTCTTCACAGACACTGAGCTTCCATCAACAGTAAATTCCCATCCTGTCATTTGGTATGATCAGAGTTTAAGATCCTTTATTCCATGTGATGGATGGTAAAAAAGTAGCTCAATTTAATTTTTATTTCTTGTCTTCACATTGTCTAGAGTTGTTTTATATGTCTGTTTTCATGTGAAGTAAAAGGCACTGTCTGTTTATGGATGATATGTCATTCTGTATGGCTGAAGCACAGAATACAGAAAGTGCACAGAGGACAAGACCCTCTCTCTTCCAGAGGTTCCTCCAGGATCTTGCTCTTTTCCTCTCCATCCCGTAAATTGCTGGTTTGCATCAGTAGATAGGGACAAACCTTTCCTTTTTTCCTTGAATGTACCACAGTAAATTAGAGAGTTTATAAATAAATGAATGTGGTAGAAAAATACTGGACTTGACAGAAACATCTGAAACCATTTCCTTTATTTTTGCCCCAAACTTGGTTTCTACCCAATTTAGATCACAGAACAGTAAGGTACCTCAGAAAACACACACAAATTTGATCCATGTCTGGAGACCTGAAGGCAAAGACTTGGCAGGAATATATTCACCCTTTTCTTATCCCATGTAGAAGGCAAAAAGTGCAGGAAAGATAAATCGGGGTATGAAACTGATTTACTGGCACTGATTAGGAAGGTTCTGCCTCTGAAAGCTCCCATAATGATATAATTTTCAGGTAATAATTTCTATACATTATTTTCAGAGAAAATGATTATTTTAACCAAAATCTTTTTTAGTCTTTCCATGCACAGCACACAGAATTCTCAGAAATTTAACAAAAAGTGATGTTCTCAACTCTGATCAACAAAGCAGCAGAGGTAGGAAAAATTATACTCCAAAAATTGATGAATGTGTATCACATTCCCAACTACAGTAGGAAAATTGAAAATCACTATAAATATTTGTTTTCGAAAATGATTTGCTGTTATTATTCCAGTAACACTTTAATGCCACATTGTCTCAAATACAAATAGATTTGTCTAATCCAGTGATTCTCTACCCTGGGCAATTTTGTCCCTCTGGGGACATTTGGCCTTTTTTTTTGTGTGTGCTCCGATCAGAAATGTAGAGGTACAGTGAGTGTACCTCTACATTTAACTGGCATCTAGTGCACAGAGGTTAAGGATACTGCCAAACATCAATGCACAGGATAGTCCCCAAAAGGAAAAAGGTATCTGGCTCAAAAATGTCAATAGGACCAAGAAACTGTGATCTAATCCACTTCTTTCTGGTTAGCTGGGACATGTTGACAAATATACAAGGTTAGAGATGATAAACACGCTTCTTAAAGAACTATTAAGCTAGACAATTTAGAGTCCTTTAGAAGATCTTATTCTCATCAACGAATAAGTTTCCATTTAGTAATTTTCAGTTGAAATATGTAAAGAATAAAATAGACCACAGTCCATAATTCTGTCCACCTTATCAAGCAGTGAGTGTACCTCTACATTTATTAGTTTATCACATAACCTATAAGAACACCTACCTACATCGAAATTTGTAATCAAACTGACTACTGCTGGCTTCACTAATCACAAATTAGTATTTTCCCACATTTAGGCCCTAACTGAATTCCCCATGCCTGTTTAGCAAAAGTGACCAGTCCACATATTTAAACAGTGGGTTTTATGTGGTCTTCTGAGGAAACTTTCATATCTAAAATTCCCTTTCTCTGATATGACAATCCATTAAAAGTTTACTGTTCAGTTCCATGAAATTTAAAAGCCAGAGTGAGAAAGGAAGTTGATTTTGACTATAAACATAAAGGCAGCTACAAAGGGATGCCCTCTATTAAAAAGTAAAGGGTGTTGGCAATGAAATGGAATAAAATATACAAAGGCCAAAGAGGCCTCTCTAAATATAACAAAGTCCTTAGAGGTTATCTTATTTCCCAGTAAAAGTTTCCTTGGGTGTTTCAACAAAGACATTTTTTCTGGGGAATTTTTTTGTTTTGTTTTTCCTTTTTAAATGTCTCTATTTCCAATTTTGCTGAAGGCATTTACATTTTTTTCCTATATATTATGCTAGAAGAAATATTTTTAAATTATGCAAAAGTTTAGCTCAAATTTAGAGGAATCACATGGGTTCAGAAATCCTTTTTTAAATGGTCACATATACCTAACAGAAAGAAAAGCATCCTGTAACGGATAGAAAACCATCTGAATGGTGAAGTTTCTTAAGCTAACAAAGCAAGCACTGTTTGGCAGGAATGTAGAAAGATGGGCAGTTCAGCCATTTTTTGAAACACTTAAAGATGAAGACAAAACTATTGCTACATGGATTAGCTGGACTGTAGACCAAATGTCACTTTTTGAATGTAACTCTTAAATAGAAATTTCTATCCTTAGGCTTAAGAAAAATTCAGGTAGAAAAGCACTTATTAACTAAGGGGGAAAATGGTGCCAAAATGACTTTAAAAAAAAAAAGGTCATTTAAATGCAAGATCTAATTTCAGAGAGTTGAGCACAAATGTGGAAAACAAGGACTTCTCATGTACTGCAAAAGGCAGCAAAGCATGTTCAGACGAATGTAGTGAAACTCTTTAATCTGGCTAAATGTAAAAAGTTTTGTTTTACATGAACTTGACTAGACTCTCGCTGCAATTCCAGCTTCTGAAAACAACAGTACCGGGCTCAAGAAAAGGGCAGGTAAGGGGAGCAGCTGTGTGTCCACAGCTTCCCCTTCAAATCCCAAAGGAGGAAAGCTGCCGCCTGGAGATACTCGGTAGAAAGGCAGCCTTACTGAAAACAACTAAGGTTTTTGAGCGTTGTTTTTGGCAAGAGAGAGGTGTTACCGGCTGCTTCCTGGGGTGCTGGAAGGAATGTGTCACCATCAATCAGAAAGTACACTAAGCCCCGTGTTCAGGTCACAGAGGGACTACGGCCTCTTCCATCACGGATAAGTCCATGCCAACTCGCAGAAAGGAGGAGAAAGGAGAGCTGCAGGAAAGGTGTTGGTGCCCATGACCCGCAAGTCCAAAAGGAAACCAACTTGTTCTGCAGGGGAATTCGGGCACGCTGAGTTCACCGAGAACTCCAAGGAGCCAAGGAGGGCCGGTTCGCCTACACTTCCCCTGAGATCAGCGCCACCCCACCGCAACTCTGGGGAAGTTAGCGGGGGCCTGTCCCTCCTCTCCAGGAGGGACGCCTAACTCACCTGGCCGGCCCCGCGGAAGGGCTGGTGGATGAATGAAATGCCACCCCCCCACCCCCACGGCTGAGCCTCGCGGGACAGCGGCGGACCGCGGGGTGCTCACCTGTGGGGATGCTCGAGGGCTTCTCTGAGTCAGCACCTAGGCAGGGATTCCAGGGGTGAAGGACGAGCGCAAGGAGCAGCAGCTGAGGAGTCACCTTGCGCCCCACCATGTTCGGCCCTCGAGGGCCGCGCGGGCTCCGGCGCCCACGGCCCCGCAGCGCCGCACTTCTCGCGAGAGCGCAGGGACCCAGGTCCGCCCCGGGCTGAAATTGCGGGCGGGAGCAGGCGGGCGAGGCGCGCGGCTGGCAGTCGGAGCGGCGCGTAACGCCGCAGAGTCTGTCAGGTCGTCGGCGGAGGCGCACAGCAGCTGGCGCGCCGGGCGCTGCGGCGCCTTATAGGTTCCCTGAGGGGAGGCGAAGAGGCGGGCCGCGCCCTGGCTATTGGCCGCCCGCTGACCCGCCGCCACTGTGCGCCCGGTGCGGTCGCCTCCGCTCGCCCTCCCGGGCCCCACGTCTGGACTGTTTGCTCAGCGCGGACACTATTTAAGGAGCCGCCTGAGGCTACGTGTGGAGGCTCACGCAGCGCTTCTGGCTGGAACGGGGAAGCCTGCACTTTGGTTTGGGAGTGGGTTTGGGAGTGGGAGGAGGAGCCGCCGGGAATCCGGCGGGAGGGCGGTGCTCCCGTCTCGGTTCCTGTCTGCTGCCCCAGGAGCTTCCACAGCAGCCTCGAAGGGTGAGAAGTTGCTCTTCTGTGGACTCAGATGCTCCAGCCAATCTGAAGTGACTGCACATCTGCAGCAATCTTGGCTGAATGAGACCTCGCCAGACTTTAAGCCTCGGAAAATGGATCGCCCCTCATTAATCCGAGGGCAGGTTCATCACCCTGTAAAAGGAAAGCTGTGCTTTTATTTGACTCCGTAAACCGAAACTTTTATTGTCCAGTGAACATTTCTTGCTCCGTCGCTTGTGCCAAGAGAGCCTTAGACGCTTTCCAGTAATGAGGCTTGTAAATCCTGTGGAATCGGAGCCCAACGTGTGTAATCCCGGGGCTGTGCTTACAAGATCTTCCACTCCACGTGGAAAATTACTCACAAAGATAATGTCGGAGTGATGGAGTTCTCCGAGCCATGGTCCCCACTGCTTCCACTTTTGACTGATGTCTAAGAAAATTCCAGTTTTTGTTGTTATTGTTCTCACATTTTAACTAGCCAAGGGTCGAATCTGTTGGAATGAGTGGGAGCAAAAGCGCAATTAAGAAAAAAGCTTGACAGTTTTGCCTCATACATTCATTCAATGACATAAACTATCATATTTGAGAAAGAGAACCAGAATGCTACCATTCTGGAATCTTCTGCCTAAATTTTCTTGAAATAAGAAAAAAAGAATCGAGACAACACCCGTTTTAACTCTGGGTCTTTGAAATTAAAACAAAATTGTGGAATATATGTCCATTATGATTGCATTTTGTCTAAAATTAACACAAGATAAGACGAGCTTAATGCTTTCATCTTATCTTGAAAGCATTAAAAACAGGTGGAAAAGCCTGCAAAGAAATGTTGCCTGGGATGTGACATTTTAGAAAAGAATCATTTCCTGTGTCCAGAACTAAGCCAGTTATTACTCTGAAGGTTTTGAAGGTTTCCTCTCAGTTTTTTTAAAAGAAGAGGAAAACTGGAGAAAGTTCTGAGAAGAGTAACAAATAAAGAAATGGAAAGTATGACCTGTGAGAATGAAATAAGGTTTATTTAGTCTGAAGAGAGAAAAAAAGCTAAAAGATGGATTCCTTAATAACAGCCTTTCATGTGCGGCAAGCACAGCTTCATAAAACTAGGCACAAAGCAAACAGCATCAGTCGTCTGAGTCCAAGGATCTGCTAGGAATGGCTGGTGTTTTGGCCAAATCTGTCTCCAGAAATCCAAACCAGTCATTGACAAACTCCTTGAACTTGACTTCTTGCTTCCGTGGTTCACAGTATCTTTAAGAACTTGCACAACTAGAACCTGGCTTTCTGCCCTCCCACACCCCACATTCCCCTCATGCACACTTAATGGCCTCTCTACATCACAGGTGTGTGTGGGTGTTTAAACTCCAAAAGTCCACTAATAATTGCAGATAACTGTGACATTCTTCCTTCTCTGTGAAGAGTCATGATGTCAGTACAGTGAGACTCATAGAAACCAAGTGTTTCTTTGGGATTTTCAAATACCTAGACACTTCTAACGCAGTCTGAAAGAGCCCCAATTCTGAAACCAAATCCTTCCTGCCTTCTTATATTTCCAGTGGTCTGCTGAAGATTTCTACTTGGATGCTCCATTGGCAGAAACTTGGTATGTCTTTTAACTCATCAAATCCAGATCCCACTCAGCTCCCTCATCTCTGTTGATACTATTGCTCTCTAACTTATATGGCCTCAGACATTTTTACTTCTCTCTTCCCATCCCCCACACCGGCCAACTCAAAGAGCTGGACTCCAAATCTTGTCATTTTTTCCCCTTTGTGTTTTCTCTTCATCTATTCCTTTCTATTCTCACTACTGCCTCACTAACTAATGCACTCTTGAGTATATCCTAATGGTGCTGTTTCCTAGACTTTCCCCACCACCAGTGTGATACCACTGTCTACCACAACTAGATTAATCATACTCAGATATCCTTTTGATTGCTTCATCACCAAACAGATTTCATAACAGATTTGGAAACAATCCAAATTCCCTAACCTAGTATTCAGATTCCTTCATGCTAAACTAAACCTAACCAATGTAGTTTCCTTTATTATTTCCCAAAACAAACCAAATACTTTGTCACTTTAATTTTCTGAAGTTTAGGTAGGAATCATTTGGGTTCCTCCGAAGGCCAAGCATGAGCCCAAATTCAGTGACAAGCAGTTTGTGGAGTTTTGAGAAAACAATATAGGTGAAGTAAAATAACACAGGAAAGGGAAAATATCCAATTAAATCAGCCACAGTGTGTAATTGGAGCTTAATCCCACAAAATTGATGTACTATCACTCAGAAATGTCCTGGTCAACGGGCCGGAGAACTGGGATATTATATGCCCAACACCTATCAGTCATTGACTTAAAGCCTGAGGGACACTCATTAATTCCCAGTCATTCCCGACTGCTATGTAGCAGCCATTCCAGTGATGTAACTCTTGATCATAAGAAGTCAGGGTGGCATGCTCAGAAATGATAACGAAATTTGAGGAGAAATGAGAGAAGCAGCATTTGCTCAGCAATCATATCTTTGTTTATGTTATTCTAGATCTAAAAAAAAAAAAAAAGGATGACAAAATCTGTCCTCCTTCCTTCACTGGACTAATGTCTATCAAGCTCAAGTGCCACCTCCTACAGGAAGCCCAACTGGGGTAACTTGCGCTACCTCACAGGCTGGGTTAGATGTCCCTGTTCCATGATTTCTAACTTCTGAAGCAAATCTCTCTCATTTGTGACAGGGTCTTTTCTTAGAATTATACAGTCTGTTTATTGAGGTCAGAATTCAATTATTTTTCATCATTGAAGAGTAAGTACCATAGTAGCACATTTGTTTATTCATTGATTCATTCAAAAAACATTCCATGACTACTATATCTCAGGCTGTTCTAGATAGATGTTGGTAAAAATAAACTTATCAGTGACAGAAAAAACAAAAATCTATTGTCCTTCCAGCTTCAGGTGAAACAAAGAGATAAGCATATTATGGTAATAAGTGATACAGAGAAAGTAAATCAGGAAATGTAACTGGGAAAGACCAATAAGGAGGGGAGGTATACTGAAGCCTTAGTAGAGTCCTGGGAAAGCCCCATTGCAAAGATGATTCTTAAGCAAAGACCTGAAGGTGGCGAGAAAAGGAGAGGACCATGTTGTACAGGGGTCCTGTGTTCCAGGCAGAAGAAACAGGAAGTGCAAAGACTGTGAGACCAAAAATATCTGGAGTGTTGTGAGGAGGCAAGAGGGCAATTGAGTGTTCAGTGACTGTGGGTAAGAATAGTAGGAGATGAAGCCTGAGGCATAAGAAGCAGGGCAGAGACAAGCGGATTAAACAGATAGTGTGATAAGAATAGAGCCTGATAGCAGCTTTGTCCTTTATCCTAGATGAATCTAAAAGCCATTTGGATGATTGTAAGCAGAGCAGTGACATGATCTGAAGTAGGATTTGATAAGGATCACAGAGTCCACAGCTGCCACATTAGAGGAAGATAAGGGAGGGCGAGTGGAGAATAAAACATAAAGCCTGTAGACCAATTTGTAGGCTAATGCAGTGGTCCTGATGGAGGCTTTAAGCAAGTCAGTAGCAATAAATGAAGGTCAATTTTCAGATAGATTTGAATTTAGAGCCAGCAAAATTTGATGGTTTGAATGTGGGTGTAAGGGAGAAAAAGGAGTCAGCAAATATTTATGCAATGAATATTTGTGGAGTGAATAAGAAATAAAGCTTTGGGAATTCGTGTAATAACCCTGGAGGTACAGAGGAAGGGGGATGTTAAATGAATTAGAGGACAAAGAAAAACCACCAGACATCCAAGAGCTGAAACTCAGAGAAGGTGGACCCTTTGAGGAGAGAGAAAAAAGAAATCAGCAAAGGAGACTGTTACAGTCAGACAAATAGGAACAGTGTTACAGAAGAAAGACTTGGAGAAATAGGAGGAAGCCTCAGGGAAGTCATTTATTATAGCATTGGGAAACACAAGTTTAAGATCAAAACTTAAATGGGAGCAGAAACCACAGTGAATGTAAGATATAAACTGGAGATGAGGGCTTGGAGAACACCATGAAGCAGAGTTTTTGTGCTGTGACTCTTTATTCTAAATCAAGCCTCTGCTGCAGATGGTCAGGGGATGACCTCTCTAATTTTAGGATGATCAAGTTGCCACAAATCTTAAGCTTTCCCTAATATATGAGAGGTTTGCAGTTATAGTCTGTAGGCCCCAGCAGTTTCCTAAATTCTTTAAACTGTAATTTGACAAGAATGATTTTCTTGTGACTTTTTCAAGGCTAAACATCTTTTCAAACAAAACCTGTGTGACAAAATAAAGTGACCTGCTTAACACATTAAAACAGGTTTCTTCATGCAACCAAAACAGTTATTAATTACAGGAAAAATGAGCATGGGTTATCTTCTGAGGTGCTGTATTTCTTTTGTTTCTTATTTGTGTTCAAGAGAGGCCCAGGCACTTTAAAGTATATTTTTAAAATAACACTAATTGTATGTTTTAGTCATTTAAGTGTGCTTATCTGGAATCTTCTTTAGGTGGATATGAGTTGTGAAACCCTTGTACCTAGCAAAATGATGTCAGATGTAAAACTAAACTTAGCCAAGTTTAAAGTAAGAAGAGCAGGCCAGGATAGGAAACAATGCCAGCAAACACAAGTATTTTGAAGATGATTCCAGCAGATGTTTGTGCTAGTCAAAATGATTGGGCAGAACTGTCTAGGCCATGAGTCATTCTACAGGGTCAGCAGTCATTGTGGCATTCACATTCAGTCTTCCAAGTATGTTTGACCAAAGTTCCACATGTCATCGCATACTTCTTGGCATACGTAACACCAGATTAGCATTAATTATGATTAATCACCATGTACAGTCAACATTTTCTTGTTCAACGGCAGTTTCTAATGATTTTTTTTATTGGCTCTCTGTCCTTACAATCTCTCATTCTCCTGCTTCTTGCGACCATTTATCTCCTTTCTCTGGCATCTGCTCTGCCCATAGGTAGATTTACCCTGAAACTATTAAAGCTTAAATGTCAGTGTCCCTCACTTGCAAAGGTTCCTGTGAGTGTTAGGAGTGTCCAGGAGT